CATTGAGAAATACATGCTTTGGGGAGAGGGAGAGAAAAACTTTGCTATGCATGAATAGTTAATTTGGTTTCATAGGACTCAGAGAGGAGGTCAGTGTTTCTGTTACTCTGTCAAGTTGTCCAGAGGAAACATTAAGGTTTAATAATTGCCACCTTATTCTGTGGTCTGTTACCAACTCAGTATAGTGCTTTGAAGTGCCTAAGTTAACTGGACTATTTTAGGTACAGTGTTTTCATTCTTGAGAATTTTGATAAATATGCCAAGGACACAATGACATTGTTATGGTTGAAGGCATTTTATTGAATGTAGGGAACAGTAGCTTTAATACGTTATGAGTAATAGTAAATATTCAAACTTTTATCCCCTGGTTTGCAGTGTCTGGAGGTATTTTTAGTTGTCAGACCTAGGAGTGGGTGGAATTGCTAGTGGCATCAAGTGAGTGGAGGCCTGGGATGCCTACAATGCACAGGACAGCCCTCTTCTCCCCGCCCCCCATAAAAAATGGGAAAAAAAGAATTATCTGGCCCAAAATGTCTGTAGTGCTGAGGTTGAGAAACCCTATCCTTTCTTAGTGATTCTAAACCAAACCAAACCCTTAGAGTCCATTACAACTCATAGAACAGGGTAGAGCTACCCCATGTACTCTAGATTCCAAGGCTGTAATCTTGACGGAAGGAGCTCTGGTAGTGTAGTGCCTAAGGCATTTGACTGCTAACCAGAAGGCTAGTGGTTCAAACCCACCAACCACTCCTCAGAAGGAAGATGGGCAATCTACTTTCATAGTGATACTGCCTTGGAAACCCAAGGAGGGGTCGCTGTGAGTCGGATCACATTCATTGGCAGTGAGTTTGGTTTGGTTTAATCTTGACGTAAGCAGACTGCCACGTCTTTCTCCTGCAAAGCAGCTAGTAGGTTGTAATTGCTGACTTTACAGTTCCCTGCCAAGCTCTTAACCAGTGTGCCACCAGGGCCCCTTTCCTAATGATTCTACTTCTTAGAATCTGTCCTTAGAAAATAATCCAAAATACAGAAACTTACGTATGTTCATGTAGACACTCGCCAAAATACTAATTTTCATTTTTTTTCCATTACAAAATAATGTTCTTTGAAGAAACTTAAAAGACTTAAAATTACTTAATCTTACCACCTACAAGTAATATTGATGGAATTTCTGTGCGTGTGTGTGTGTGTATGCTTAATAGGACATACTGTTTTATAATCTTTCCTTGATATGTCTATATAATTATGAAAAATGGGAAACAAACTTTATCCTTTGAGTCTTAAGAAGAGATTTTGATAACCCATGTCAGAGTTTACATGAATTTCAGAAATGCTAAAGAATTGGAAACTACTTAAAGAGATAATTAACTCACCCATTTCAGGAATTCTTTTATACAATACCATTCAACCTTTGTTTGCCCACTCTTTCACTTACATCATTTACATTCTGAATTACTATTCTCAAAATGCCTCTTATACCACCAAATAGAATAAAACAAGTACAGGGAGTTTCTCAGTAAAGGTAAATTTTAGCTCTGTGTATCAGTTGTTATTACTTGCTGACAGTCTATTCCAACTCATAGCGATCCTTTATGTGCAGAGTAGAACTGCTCCGTAGGGTTTTTAAAGCAGTGACCTGCTGGAAGCAGATTGCCAACCCTGCCTCTGGGCAGGTTTGAATCACCAGCCTTCTGGCTAGCAGGTGGCAGCTTGACTGTACCAGTGGAAGTAAAATAGCTTTCCCTATACATTCTGTTTTGGAATCAACTTGCAACAACTGACAACCACCACCACTATAATATGGACGAACAAATGCTAAACTGGAAGCAGTCATAACTGTCATTAGTAGAGTGGATATAATTTGCCTTTGTTCACACAGTGGAATACTATATAGTAATTAAAATTAATTAAATCTATATGTGTTATGAATAATCTCCAAAATATATGTGAATGAAAAAATAAAACAATGTTTTTAGTATGATACCATTTAAAATGGTACATCACACAAAATACTATATTGTTTATAGATATGTATTATTAAAAATACGTAACAAAAATACTCACCTAACTTCACGATAGTAATTACCTCCAACACTAGGGGGAAGGACATTGAATCAAGGGACAATATAAAGGATCATCAACCATATTTACAACCTATTATTTCTTACAAGAAAAAAAGATATCACAATATGACATGATGTTAGTTAGTTAAACTTTGTTTTTGGAATAGTTGAAGATCACCATTATTAAAAGTGAACGTGTCCTTTTCAGATTTCACTTTTAAAGTAAGGCAGAATGTATAAAAAAAAGTTTATACTCATAATTTAATTGTGTGATTGTGTGTATAAGTAATATTGAAGGACTTCATTGTAACCACAACTATAGTTAAGTACAGCAAATAAAATAATTTCTAAGAGCTGTTTGGAATGTTAAGTACTTTCTGAAAGTATTGGTTGTTGTTATGTGCCGTCGAGTTGGACCCGACTCATAGTGACCCCTCCTTGGATTGTCGAAAGTATTTAGGGACTACTAAATGTTAGTAAAGGAGTTCTGGTAACGTAGTGCCTAAGGCACTTAACTGCTGACCAGAAGGCTGGCAGTTCAAACCCACCAGCCACTCCTTGGAAGGAAGATGGGGCAATCTACTTCTGTAGTGATACTGCCTCGGAAACCAAGGAGGGGTCGCTATGAGTCAGGTCCAACTCGATGGCACATAACAACAACAACAAATGTTAGTAAAGGCGAATGGTTCTTGAAATTAACCAAACAGTGATTGAGGTGGTTGAGTATGATTTACACTACTACAAGATGACAAGTCAGTGATCCCTTGTGTCACTGTAATTTAATATGAGAAAACAAATACATATAGAAAGAAACTATACACTAAGATTACTAAAAGAGAAATGTGCTATCTCTCAGTCTCTTGGTGATAATATTATGCTGTGCCAGTTTAACAGAAATGAAGAATGACTTAAAAGTATTGCTGTTGCGTTTGTATTAAAAAGTTTTTTGTTTTGATTTTATATGGTGATGTGGGTGAAAGTTTACAGAGAAAATTGGTTTTCCGTTCAATAATTTATACACATTTTATTTAGTGACATTCATTACAATTCCCACAAAATAATAGCACTCTTCCGCTTCCTCCTTGTGCTTACTGTTTCTATTTCTTCTTTCCTGTCCTTACTGCCTTCTGAGCTTTATCCCTAGACAAATGCTGCCCTTTTGATCTTGTATGGTTGATTATTCTAAGGAGTGTGTACCTCTCTGGGTATTCCTGTTTATGAAAGTTGAGCCATGGGGTTGAGTTCAGTTCCAGGCTTGAAGGGTTTCTAAGGGCCATAGTTTCAGGGGTTCCACCAGTCTTTATTAAACCAGTAAGGTAAGCCTGGTCTTTTTTATGATTTTGAGTTTGGTTCCACATTTTTCTCCCACTCTGTCTGGGACCTCTGTTGCAATCTCTCTCAGAGCGGTCAACAGTGATAACAATGGTCTTGGGATCATGGAGGCTGGGGTGCATGTGGTCTATTAGTCCTTTAGACTAATTATATCCTTGCATCTACCCCCCCCACACACACACACACACACTTTTCTTTGCTGTAGATGGGGAGAGACCAATAGTTGCACCTTAGACAGTTCAAATGTTTGTTTTTGTTTTAAGTGTGTTCCCCTGAAATTTTAAGCATCTGGTCTTTAGATTAGGGAAGGATACTTCATAGTTTTGTTCTATCAAAAATAATGAACTTAACATGATCATTTCTTACATGGTAGTGGCACTGTCAACATAATCAAGCACATTTTTCTCTATCTAGTGCTAGAACTGACTTTTTATTAAAGATAGTACCTGGTAACATAGTACCTAAGGCATTTGACTGCTAACCAGAAGGCTGGCGGTTCAAACCCACCAGCCACTCCTCGGAAGGAAGGTTGGGCAATCTACTTCCGTAGTGATACTGCCTCGGAAACCCAAGGAGGGGTCACTATGAGTCAGGTTCAACTCAATGGCATATAATAACAACAACAGTTACTACATACAGACCTGTGATGACTTGCCTTAATGAGAGGATTTTTGTTTAGTTTCATGCTCATTATCTTCTTCCAAAAGTTGGATTAAATCACATAAATATTTGGTGGAAGATACTCTACTATATTGTATTAAAAAAAATTACTTTAGATTTTTGCATCATGTTGCTACGGGGTAGCTAAAGGATAATGGCCACTGCTTGGATGAGATGCTACCAGCCATTAACTTGCCAATAGATTTTTAGAAATTTCTTCTAAGTAAGGAAAACACATAAAGCCATTATGTGGTGAAGACATTTATGTTTCTGTAATGGGTTCACGTGTATTTTGAGCTTTAAATTGTTTTAAAAAAGGTATGGTGTCTGGTGTCACCACCATTTTGATTTGTTAAATACAACATACGGTAATTTCTCTAAAATCAGACATTCAGTGAATTGTTACTGACAGTCCTATATCAAGCTAAAGTTTAGACCTGAAAGCAAAAGGACTTTTAGAGTGCATTCTTCTCAGCAATCAGCTTGTCTTCTGTTTTGCTACTGAATGCACATACTCATGCCTAGGAAGTTTATCTGCAGCCAGCCAAATAATACTTCATTTACCTAATTTCCAGACTAGTCAAGCAAAAACATCAGGTACTGTTTTTTGTCCTGAAGAACTTTATTTGTAAACTTTAAAGTAGTAGCAAACCAATCTCAGGAGCCCTAGAACTATAAGAAATTTCTTTCTAAATCAGGAATGCGAAGTCCTGTGAATTCAGAATGGCTTCAGTTTTTTCTTCTTCCTGCTTGAAAAATCTTACAAGTACATTGTTTCAGAAGCATAGCTTCTAAAATCCTGAAAAAGAGAACTAGCTCTTAGTAGAAAAGATGTTAAATTCTGAGGGTACTTTAGAATTATTAAAATGTAAATTCAGGAAGTTCGATTTGCATTCAGACTTTTATTGTGTACCCTGACACTCACATGATAATTTTGTCTCTTAGAAATCAACAGTTTTGTTGGCATGTGAAGCTTCTGTTTCCTCAGAGTCAAGCTGTGTACATAGAAAAAAGGTATAGTGTCACTGTTGTATGTTAAGAATTGATTTTGGTTCCCCCCCCCCAAAAAAAAGATTGATTTGGTTTTAAGTCTTTCCATTTAACATAAAGCTGCTAACCCAAATGTTTGTCAGGAGTAGTCTGGATTGCTTAAGCTGTGATATGTTCACACAATGAAAGTTAGATACCACAGAAAATGAGTGAGCTACAGCTATATATATGAACATGGATGAATCTCAGATATAATGTTAAAGAAGGAAAGCAAGTTATGGAAGAATACATACACTTTGATTCTGTGTTTAAACTTAGGGTGGAAAAATACCACCAGAAGACTGAACACTGTACTCTTCAAAGATTATGTAAGGAGGTGATAGGACTCTCCAGGAAAAGATTAGCATAAAAATAATGATGGTTACTTAGCTGGGAGGAAGAGAGGGTGGAGAATCAAGGGGACTGAAACTTTTCTATTTCTTAAGGTGTGTGATTATATAGAATATTCACTTACTTTTCTTCAAACAATGCATATACATTATATAAATGCCTATATGTGTGATACAGGAAAAAAAAATTCTAAAAAGAACAGAAATGAAAATGACTACAATTCTCCTATGCAAAAATTACTTATGCAAATATTACTTACATAACTTATCCAAAGATTATATTATGACTATCCTTCAGACACATATATATATAGATATGTATGTATGTATACATACATTCATATGTGTGTGTGTATATGCATGTATGTATTCATTTGCATAAGCAATTTTTTTATCCTACTTTTTTTCATGTGAATAGTTTCCAGTATCATATAAGAAATTTTTAATTGTTATGTACTATTTGATTCTTTAGAGGTTAGGAAAATTTTAAAGTTGCTTTTTAACTAGTTTACATAACCTCTGTGATTGTCATGTGGATTTTTGTAATGGACTTTCTAATTTGAAGTTCCATACTAGACTAAAAGATGGGGAATAACTTAAGTTTTACAGATGGAGTATATAGCATGATAGCATATATGAGCATGTATGAATGATAGAGGAAAATTCTGTTTCAAATTTTGTTTCTAAGCTTTATAGTTTAAAACAATGGACACATAAGAAAGTTGGAAAACATCAAATACTTTGTCTCCAGGGACATATGTATCAGATTTTAATCTTGCTTTTTGAGTTATAATGAATAAATTTGAGCATTCCATGAAATTAGCATCATCTAAATTTTTTTTTTTTTTTTAAGATTTTTATTTCTGAAATTCCACATCTTGGCTTCTTTCATGTTTGAACACAGGTGTGTGTTAAAAGAGGCTTCACATTTTTGTAATTGACTTACAGGGAGCTTCTTAAAATGTTGTTTTTTAAGATCTTGTTAAGTGTGTCCAAGAAGTCTTTTTGAACTTTTTTCTGAGTAATTTTTTTTAAAAGGGTGTTATATTTTGCCAAGAGTAAAATAAAAGGTCTGTCTGTGTTCAGTTATTTAAGCAAGAAAGCCACAAGATTTAGTAATTCTAAGTTAATACCTTTAGTAGAAAATTATAAATAATAATGTGGGTTTATTTCTCTCTCTCCATTTCTGGGAAGGGTACCAGATAATAAAACTATTAATGAAATCCTAAGGACTTATATTGATCCTGAAAAGTCTGATCCTGTAATTCGTCAAAGGTATGTTTCAAAAATGGAACTTTTCTGAAATTATTAAAAATGTTCAGGTACTTGTTATGTGCATATTTATGAGATAAAGCCATGACCTCTCTTGTTAATGTTCACATTTATTATGTAAAGCGATGATATTTTATTAGCATGTAACATGTCAGTGTAATTTACTTTCTACCCCATTTCCTTGGTATTTAATCAAGGATTCATCATCATGAATCACTGACATTTACTGTATACTGTGCTTAGATACTCTCATAAGCATCTTTCATGTATTAATTCATTTAATCCTCATAGTAACTATATAAGGTTGTTGTTGTAAGCCCTTGAGTCGAACCTGACTCATAGAGACCCCTCCTTGGGTTTTTGAGGCAGTATCACTACAGAAGTAGATTGCCTAACCTTCCTTCTGAGGAGTGGCTAGTTGATTTGATCCACCAGTCCTCTGGTTAGCAGTCAGTTGCCTTCGGCACTACACTGTCAGAGCTCCTACTGTATAAGGTAGATTACCTTTATTATACATATTTTATAGATGGAGAAACTGAGCCATAAAGTAGTTAAATAATTTCATATAGTTAATAACTGGGGAAATCAGAATTAAAACCTAGGCAGTCTGGCATTAGAGTCTGCACTCTTTACCCTTATACTAAATTATCTTTCAAATTGAATTTAAAGTCCCTGAAATGAATATTAAGAGTTTCCAGGTAATTGCTAAAGATGGGAAATTGTGTTTCTGCCATGTCTTCACAAAACTCGTACACTCTGCTTCCTGTCCAGAAATATAGCATGGACAAAAGTGACGGTCATGGCATAATGGATTCAGTCATGAATATCTGGTTAAAATAGCTGGCGCTGTCCAGTTATTAGCTATGCAGTCAGGAGGAAGTTACTTAACTTCTGGGCCTTAATGTTTTTCATTAGTAAAATGGAATGATAAGATGTACTAAAGAGATCTACTAAAGAAAAGATCTACTAAAGAAAGCTTAAAAGAAGTAAAATGTATAAAGCACCTAGTATAAGGCCTAACACATAGTAGGCAGCACTCTGAAAAAGGAAGCTGTTATCAAGAATTTAAGTTATTAATGGTCTTATGCAATAACCCAGCTTACTGCCTTTGATTAGATGATACCTGCTTGGGAAATGAATGCTTGTTTTGATTCCAGAATAACCTGTGATGTTTAAAATTTAGACTGACTGGATTCTAAAATGTCAAATTTTAGAATCAGAGTGAACAGATCCATAACCCATATCAGTCAGTGTGTTTGGAACAGCGATAGTCGGTTTTTTTCCCTTCTGCTTGACAATCTTATTTTCCTCATTAGCCATATACCTGGCAGTAAGACATTTGACAATGTCTTGATAATGTTTTTGTGCATTTGCTAGATATATGACACTAAACGGGAGCTCTGGTAGCATAGTGCCTAAGGCACTTGACTGCTAACCAGAAGGCTGGCGGTTCAAACCCACCAGCCACTCCTCAGAAGGAAGGTTGGTCAATCCTACTTCCGTAGTGATACTGCCTCGGAAACCCAAGGAGGGGTCGCTATGAGTCAGGGCTGACTCGACGGCAAATAACAACAACAACAACATGACACTAAATGAATTTTAAAGTTTAAAACAATATAAAATAGCCAGATTAATTTAATTTAACTCAACTAGGTATTTCTTAAGTTAAGCTACTTAATTGAAGAGAGAGAAGAAAGTTAAGTTTTTATTCAAGTCTTGGCTAGAAAATATCTTTAACCTCTTTTCTATGCTTGGTTGGATGAATTTTCAGTATTATTAGGTGCTCTGAAAAGCATAGTCTTAATGAGACAGTCTTAAAATATCTTAAAAATCCAATGTGCTTCCTTCAGTGTGACATTTTTATTTCAGGTTGAAAGCCTACGTTCACTCTCAGACTGGTGTCCAAATATTAATGAAGGTTGAATGTGTGCAGCAAAATTTAGTAAGGTAAAAACCATTCTCCCACTCCATTTCTTTAATAGTTTTCTAATTCTGTAATATAATTAAGTAGCTTGATTAGCTTAAGTAGCTCATTATTATACTAATTGTTTATCAGCAAAACGACTTTTAAAAATGAGTTTCAAATTAAAATTCTAAAATAATCTCACTTAACATGATACAGATAACCCTTGCTTTTCTAAAGTTTGCTTTATGCCACTCCACTTGTACAAAAGACCTACATTATTGGGACCTGTTTTTGTTAACCTAAAGAAATCCAAAGGGGATTTTCACTTTCAGGAAGAAAAGGTGAAAAGCGAAACTAGCGTTCAGAGTTCACTTTTCAGTGAGCCATTAAAGAGGCCAGCTCCTCCAAGCTCCTTCTCTGGGAACTACACTCAGCATCAGGCCACCATAGCTTTGAACTGTATCTGTGAACACTACATGTTAGTGTTATTTTAAGCTTAATGTATTATTTGATATGATTTGGTAGGTTATTTTCTAGGTCTGGGAATGCACAAAAATTTTTTCCATGTAAATTAATGGTATTTGCTTCTTCCGTTTACACCACTTTGGCTTACGAAGGGTTTCATAGAAACACTCTGCTTTTCAGGTAGTGAGGGAGGCCTGTATGGGATAAATTCATTTGAAAAATCATCCTTACTTAGAATAATTTTTGGATTGTTGCCATATGCAGCTAAGAGCTTTCTAAATCTCATCTTAATTTATTTCAAAAAGTAGTTTATATAGCAGTATATAAATTCTTACCTTTTGGAAATTCAAAAATTCATATGATTAGGTGACCATATTAGATAGTGTAATAAAAAGAACACTGCATAGAAATGTAAAGAGAATCAAATTTTAACAAGCCATTACATTTGAGTGTGATTTGTTCCTTTATTAATGGGATGATGAGTTACATTACTGGACAGTCTACTTCCGTAGAGATACCACCTTGGAAACCCAAGGAGGGTCAGATTCGGCTTGACAGCAGTGAGTTTGTTTTTCTTGGTTTAGATGATTTCTGAGGGTCCCTGCAAAGTCTGAAGTTGCTGTTTAAATGCCAGTCATATATCCCCTGAACTCTCATGGCACAGTGGTTAAAGGATTCTGCTGCTAACCAAAGGTTGATAGTTTAAACCTACCAGCTGCTCTGTGGGAGAAAGGTGAGGCAGTCTACTTCCATAAAGGTTTACAGCCTTGGAAACCCTATGGGGCAGTTTTACTCTGTCCTGGAGAGTTCACTGTGAGTCAGAATTGACTCACTAACAGTAGGTTAGGTTTGGTTATGGATCTTTAAAGAACTCTGATGTGTTTTGTTTTCTCTTTTTCATTGTTTAATTAAAATTACTTGACCTAGTCATACTAGATCAATCTGGTATGGTCAATCTCTTTTCAATTTGATATACTAGTATAACTTACCGGTTTAAGAGTCTATACTGAAAGAGTCTAACTGAAAAGCTGGATTTGAATCCCAGCTCTGCTTGCTGTTGTTTCTGTTATCTTGAGTAAATTACATAACTTCACTTCCCTTAGATTCCTCATTTCTAAAGTGAGGATAATTAGAAGTACTTAGCAAAATAAGTGTGTGCTTTTCCTCTTGTTTTTATTTTTTATGATTACTACTACTGCAACTACAGATACCGACCCCCCCCCCAGAAAAAAAAAACTTACTGCCATCGAGTCAGGTCAGGTCCACAAACAAGATTTTAAGTATTTTTTAGCTAAGAAGGGGTCTTAAGAACACTAAGTCTTGACCACTTTTCTTACTAACATATCTGAAAAATACCAATTTTATATCATTGATCATACTTAAGTGATGAAAAATTCAAGCTTTCTATTAAAAGAGCCCTTTCTCTAGACTTCTTCATATAGTATATTTACATGAAACACATACTTTAATTCCTGTCTTCCCCCATAAATGTGGGATCTCAAGTTAAGAAAAGATAGAAATTTCAGTAGTTTCTGCAAAGATAATTCTCTACAGTTACAGCATCAATAATTAACACAAATTGATAATTCAGCAATTGAGAATCACACACTTAAGTAACTGAGAAGTACTGATGTCAGAGAAGCACTGAGGTGACATTCAATTTCATTTAGGGAAATCCTTCAGTGAATTTTGTGTTATTTATGTTTAAACAAGATGATTTGCCTGATTCTCTTGGAATTTACCTCTAGTCGGTCATTAAATAATAATAATAATCCTTCTGCTAGTATTTATGTTTCCTCTTACACAATTTCTTCTTCACCTGCACCATATTTTATCTAATTAGTTTCTTTAAATGTTATTCATGTTTCATCTATGGTGTGTACTTGATGAGTATATCATGACTTTAGTCTTACAGGCCTACTAGAAGAAGACCTCCGAGGGTCTTTGTGAAAAATGAAATACCTTTCTGGATAGTTGTCTCTTATCTTCTTTAGTCCAGGAAACTTCGTATTCTCCCCGTCTTCTCATGAGGGCATTGTGACAATTTCTGTCTGACCATTCTAATACTTCTGTACCACTGAGCATTTGATAGCTCTGGCCCTACTCTGCCATTGTAGGTGTAACATATGGGTGGCTCCAGAAATTGCTACCTATCTTGATTCAGGAAATCCTTATTTCTCAGTGCATTGGGGAGAGTAAAACTCAGTGCCTCATCATTTCCTTTGTATGTGCTTATTCATTGACAACTATTTTAATGGCTGCATGAATGACATTATTTATATTTTAAATTAATAAGCATGTATTTGAAACACCAGATCACTTTACAGAATTGAATTTAAAAAATGTGTTTGGGTAAGTTCTGGAATAAACTTGACCAAAGTTACCTTATTTACCTATTCTGAGGCATTTGGCTGCTAACCAGAAGACTGGCAGTTCAAACCCACCAGCCACTCCTCAGAAGGAAGATTGGGCAATCTACTTCCAAAGTGATACCACCTTGGAAACCCAAGGAGGGCTTGCTATGAGTTGGATCCGACTCAATGGCAGTGAGTTTGGTTTTTTTGGTTTGATTTTACCAAAGCAGAGTAAGACAACCTACTTCATTTTAGTACATTTCCTATATTTGGTTTACTTGTTTCTTTACTGTTTCCATTCCTCTAATACCTGAAAGGGAAGGTTTGTTTTATGTTATTGTTGTTGTTATTGCCATCGAGTCGGACCCAACTCATAGCGACCCCTCCTTGGGTTTCTGAGGCAATATCACTACGGAAGTAGATTGCCCAACCTTCTTTCCAAAGAGTGGCTGGTGGGTTTGAACCGCCAGCCTCCTGGTTAGCAGTCAAGTGCTTTGGTCAGTGAAGAAATGTGCTGACTTCACCAAGCTAATCACACTTGACTCTTTGGCAGAATACCCACTTCTTCCAAAATTCAAGGAAACCAGTATTGTATGTAATGAAAAGTAAATGTAGGATATTGAGCATTCTAAAATTCATAATATAAGACAGACCACTTGCATTCACATAGAAATTACTTTTAACTTAGAAATGTATACTATAGATCCATGAGAAGGCAAACCCACTGCCACTGAGTTGATTCCAACTTAGCAACCTATAAGACATCGTAGAAGTGCCCCAGAGGGTTTCTAAGGCTATAATCTTTATAGAAGCAGACTGCCTCATCTTTTTCCCACTGAGCAGCTGATGGGTTTGAACTGCTGACTCTTCAGTTAGCAGGCAAATTCTTTAACCACTGCTCCGTGAAGGCTTCTATGAGAAGGCAAAGGGAATGGAAATAGCTTGTCCTAGCAGACCAGAGTTTTTTTAGGAGAGTGCAGAAATGCCTACAAAATATCATGATCCAGAGGGAGCAGCTGGAGAAACAGCTTTCATGCCATAGTGTGGAAAGAAATCAGGATACCTGGGACCAGAAACCAGGAAGATACACTCAAATTAATGAAGCTTATTTTAACAAAGAGCCAAAGCAGATAAACTTGAACCAAAAAAGTCAAAGAAGTGCACTGAAATGGAGCTAGCCTGGTTGTTGGCAGTCACCTTCTCTGGGCTTCATTTTCCTTTGTTGTATAACCTATCTTCTTTAGGTTCCAAAATGAGACCAAAGCTGGGCCTTGGATTAACCCTAGGAATTCCCAAAGGGGAAGGAATGGTGAATTAATAAAGTAAAAAGTGGGTGGTGGTGATTTTACAGAGTGCCTAAAATAGACTGTTTTGATACTAAACCTGAGCCAGACTGAGTAACATGCAAAGTAGTTTGATTTTACTGTCTCTGTGTAGAAAGCTTATCCTCCAGATTTTTCCATTTTAAGTTGTTAGTTGAATGAAATGATAATTGAAAATACCACCAAAGAGGAAGTGTTATGACCCAGGGCCAGAGATCTTAGATTTAAACATTGCCCACTCCCCCCACTACTACCATTCCCAATTAACTTGGAGTAGTCATGGCATCATTTAAAGGCAATAATAATATCAGAAATTTCAGTTGAGCAAGCTTATATCCTGAGGGTAGAACTAAGTTGAGGATAGGGTCCATCCTTTTATTTCTGATTGTTGTTAGCCTATAATTATGAATTACTGATTTTGATAATATGAGGATATATTTAGAAATAGATTTTTATTTTAATCAAAGATTTTAAACCACGGTGTTCTCTAGATGATACATTCATAATTAGACTGAGATGAGCATTTACATTTGATTATATGCATAATTACAGTTACATAAGTAAAGGAAGGTGCATTCAGAGTACATCTAATAAGATTATTGCAAGTTATAAAATGTTCGACTTCTAATTTAAGCATACTAAATTTTCCTGAAAAAAGTGCTTAGAAGGCAAAAACATTTAGTTTCTTTGAGGCTACAATTTACAGCATTCCAATACTTTCAGTGTAAAGTCTTTTTACCAAATATTTGTTGTTCCCTGTTTTCACTGGTTTTGTTTTCCATTCTTGGAGGATTTATGACAGTTGTCTCGATATGCCTCATCAGCTAGAGCAAACTCAAATGTTTTCCAGGTTTTAGCTTTATCATGTATAGCATTTTCTTTTAAATTTAGGTGATTGTA